ATCACTTTCAGGTACATAGTCTACGGAGGATTTCTTAGCGCGCGCCGCCTGACGCGCACGCGCCGCAGAAGGCGTCTTGGGCAACACTGGTACTACAATAGGTCGGCGACTCTTATGTGGCGTTTTTGGCTCATCATCGCCACCATCCGCAGCGGTATCTTCATCATCATCACTACTAGATGAGCTGCTACTATCACTATCTGTGGGAACGAAGTCGCTGCCACTCGCCGAGAAGTCCGAATCGGAATCCATTAGTTTAGCGATTTCTGCAAAAAAAAATTATAGTCAAACCTTTTCTTTAAATTTTCTCAAAAGTGTAATTACGATTTTTAACGCGTTGTCGTAGATGTGACGGTGTCTTTGGTTCGGCCGTCGATTTTCGCCGCTTTGTAACGGGTGTTTTTGCTTGTGGCTGTGATGTGGAAAGACGTGATGTCTTTGGAGTCTTCGGTGTCATTGGCGTCTTTGGAGTTTTTGGTGTTTTCGGTGTGTTCATGGCTGCCAATGCCATACCATTTCGTTTCTTTGGCGTATGGAATCCGTACATATTCTTTCCCGCCACCTCCTCTTCATCTTGCAACAGCTGTATGTCAGCAATATCCGGTCGCTTTGTCGACGGTGGCACGTAGTTCTCATCTTCCGATTCAGTATCCTCATCCGTCTCCTCATAGCCCACCTGTCGCCGCTTGCGTTGTTTGCTGCCTATAGACACATAATCGGCATATTTCTTGTGTGGGCTTACCTTGCGGCTTGACCTGCGAGGTTGGCGTGCCATAGCTGCTTGTTTTTCATCATCCGAATCTTCTGCTGTCACTGTCAATACATCTTCCGTGCTACTTAATCTGGCGCTAGTGCGGCGTGGTCGCCCTGTTTTGGAAGTACTCATTTTTAATTAAAACTTATTATATTAAGAAAATTCAAAAATACGGAAAACACATTAAACGGCGAGCAGCTGCTAAAAATTTGTTTTGCTTGGACAGCATTTTTCGCGGGCAACCAATTTTTTTTGTTTACGCATTTGACAGCACAGCTGACAGCTAAGAGCTGACACAGTGTGCGGACTTCCACTTTTGTGATAGAATCTAAATTGCTAAATTGCATTTCTACCACTTCTACCACCGTAAGTTGAAAATCTACCACATGTTATAATTTTGCTCATTTTACAACGTGGATCTATCCCTAAATTTCTCTTAATTTTATGGACCATCTTGAATTGGACAATGGTGAATGCGACATTGGCTCAAATTTTTCATTCCATTTTCTAATTGATTCGTGTTTCTTTTCAACACATTGCGAATTTGCTTCTCAATAAATCAGAATTTCAGTTTAAAGTGATTTTCAAATGAATTTCAATTAAAATACAAAGTATACGATTTTACACATAAGGTGCCAAGTTCACTTTTTTCGAAATTTAGTTTTTATCATGATACAAAAAAGAAGGTAGTTCCATTTAATGACATTCGTTGTTGTTGTTAACCATTTGACTTTTAATAAAATTATAACATTTCATCAAATTCATGCTACCTGATCACCAAAAGTAATAATTTTTTAAAGCAAGAGATCTCATCAGTCCACACAAAGATGTGGAATATGATGGACTTGAAAATTGTGTCGGCTACATGATTTCAAAAATGGTTCTTCAACCCCAAGGTTTTAGAATGCATGAGAAAGTGATCAAAATTATACTTATGAAAAGGTTTTATTTAGGAAAAACATTCTTTAGAATTAAATTTTTTAATCACAAGATTGCACTCAAAATAAGAAAATGAAAAAAATATAGCAACATAATGCGCTCATGGTTTTTATTATAAAATAAAAAGAACAATTACGATGAAGTCTCCTTTAACAGTTTGTATTTCATGTATTTTTTGCGATCCACGTAAGTAAAAAATAACGAAACATTAGGGGGATTCTCAAAGTATTTCACGGATTGCATGGTAAAAATCGGTTTTCCTATGAGAGCTTTTATTTTTAGATAGTTGTTTTGTAAGTAAAACTGCCTCCAAAGTATCTATGCCAAACCTATTCGTCGTTGCAGTTTTTTTTTCAAAGAAGCGAGAGCGAAGCGAGAGATAGCATTGCCAAATCGTCGCCTGGGTAAAAGATTGTCGTAAGCGCCATTTTTACGATTTTTGTTCTAGATGCAGTTATATATTTTGAAATAAGGTCTTTCGATTGGTGTCATCAGTTTTTAGATATCTCTTTTAGTTTCCGAGATATTGTCTACAATTTTTTCGATAATTTAGTAAAAATTTAGTTAGTGATGCAGTCATATTAAACTAATCAATATCTTAAAAATCGTGTTCTCCATTTTTGTATATCTCCTTCAGTTTCCGAGATATTAGGTAAAAAGTGTCGTTAATTTAGTAGAAATTTCGATCACATTTTGTCGTATTTCATACAAAGTGGCTGCCAAATTGTGAACAAATGGCGCTTACGACAAAATTTTACAAAAGAAAATCCCAGCATAAACTCAAAACCAATCAACAATAAACATTAAAAATTAAATAATTTAAGAGTTTTGTGAACTAGTAACATTTTCAGAGACATTGGAGAAAATCTATCTTCGCGTTTTTGAGAAATTCTATTCCAAACATCAATCGCGATTTCCCACAACCTACCGAAATTAACATACGATAATCTTTTACCCAGGCGACGAAATGTAAACGACAAGTGAAAAGAGGCGCTATGCACGGTTGCAATTTATTTAATATCCACTCGGTTGCATGAGGCAATTACGTTATATTTTAAATCAGTAACACCGTATAAATAAGAGATTGTTATTACAAGTTGTAATTTTATTCTCCGTAGGAATATTCTAATAAAAATCTTCAGTGTATTGAATTCTCCCAAAATTTAACGCCATTTCCCGATTCGCTTGAGAAATTCAAATTCCATCAATATCGGGGAATTCTGCCGCGGTTGGCATCACTTCTTGGCACCTTTTCACGTTTGGGTAACGGTATAAACCTATGTAATCACTATAATATTTCCCAGATATATAATATTTTCCAGATATCAAATCTGTACGGAAAACAAGCAAAACAAGAAATCCCTATAAACTTTACCTGCATCCACATCGATTGAATTTGGATTAGCCTCATCACAAACAAGTTAACATTCTTACATCACACAAACAATGTCCGAATGACTTTGAGGTTAAAAGCGCAAAGTCAGTCGATAAAGACTTTGCAAGAAAATCTCACCTTGGGCGCAACTTAATACTCAATTATTTGTATGTTCATATGGAAATTACTCCATACATATGTAGATATGTACGTACACGCAATATATGGATATATGTCACTTCATCCAGAGTCTATGCACGCAGGCGCAACAATCAAATGCAGTTAAGAAGACAACACTGAATCGTATGGAGAAATGCAAATTATGTAGCTTCAAGCCAATAATACTCCTACTTTAATATACGCACATGCATACCAACACACTCATGTACATACGAGTATTTATGTGTATATGAAGTTAAATACAACAACAAAAAATAGTCCTACCTTTATTTATAGTGTTAGCAATATAATTCGATTTAATGCGATTGGGAATCGCGCTTTTAAAGAGTATATGTATGAATGCATTTAGAAAATCGTTAAAGGCATATAAAACTTAAGTCGCAATGAGTTTTTAGTAACATGCGGTCATGATTATTACAAAAATCGAAATGGAAAATCTATACTGCTCGTAATATTTGTTTAAATATGGATTTGAAATTATTTATGTTAGCAGTATATATGCACATAAATATGATTGAACTTAATTATCGTTTGAACCTATCAACCTAGTTTTATGTACATACAACTATATCGTATTCTTTGAGCAAAACAAACCAAATGCTGTGAGGCAAAAGTGTTTATAGCCAGACGCAGAGGCAGACGAAAGTAGCAACCATGACAGGTATGACCAAATCCCTAACCAGACAAATTTTTGGAAACTGGACGCGCTCATTTAAAGAAGGCCAATCGCAGCTTAATGTGTGTCAGCCATGCCTTTCAGCAGTTGAGTGAAGCGGAAGAGATTAGAAAGAAAAGAGAAAATAAGGTGCCATATATGGTAAAAATTAAAACAAAAAACTGTACAGTATTGTGTCTAGAGATTATGATTTTACTTGCAATTATATAGATATTTTTGGTTCGTTTGCTGGAAGCAAATCGTAATTCCTAGAATCAAAAATGTAAGTGAAGACTTTAAAGTTTTAAGTGGTTTCCTAGAGGGTAGGAATGTGATGTGATGGTGTGCAATGGGGTGTAGTCGTTGTTCTGGGTATGCAGCTACAGTTTCCCGGCTATACTCAAATCCCGACTCATGCGTTCTCGTTCTCACACTCTGTGTAATGTGAGCAACCCATGTGCGAGATGCAGTAATCAATCCGAGGGGAGCCTTGGGTGAAAGAGAGGGAGCTTCGGTGGGGCTACTCCGACATATTCGGTTCAAGGGCTCACTGAAGTCTGCATCGTCTGTTCACCAGTATGTGTGGCTGCAAGCAGGCGTCTGCGTTGCAGCAAGCGGTTTACTATATAAAGGCGGGTTCACCGTTCGTGTCCGGACAACTTTTTATTTGCTCTCAAATGATTTTTTCCGGAGAGGGTGCTGAAGTGGGGTTCACCGTTGAGTTCGGCACATTTTATTTTATTCTGCAGATGAACAGCTGATGATATTGTTGCCTACATACGATTTTTAGGGCAAATAACACATGCGATTCGCTGCAAACGCATATAAAGGAGAACGCGGCAACCCGAATCATCAAGTCGTTCAGACAGAAAATCAAAATCAACTTGATTCGAACAAAGAGTGTTCAGCACATTTTTGTCGCGCTCTCAGTGAGACAAAGTGGGAAAGGAACGCGTAAAATTACTAACAAAAAGTGTCCGGACACGAACGGTGAATCCGCCTTAAACGTGTATACGGTTAAGAAACTACCCCTTCCCAGCAGTGGATTGTGCGCTGGGTTTGGGGCCCACCACGTGAAAACCACTTCCAGTGAAAAAGAGAAACACAGCCTCGGTAGAGACATCCCTTGCGAAACTACGCGTCTTGGCACCCGCGTCACTGTTGATAGTTACAACTTTGAAACCATAGACGACTTCTTTTATTTGGGACGGTTAGCAGATTGGTAATATAAGAAAAAAGCCAAACGTCTAGGGAACTCTTGTTTGTCATCTGGTCAGGTTAGGTTCGGTGGCAGTCCAGATCATGTAAACAATTCCTGAATTATCTCTTGTGATTGCCTTAACTTATCTGAACACTATGATTCCTCAAGTCAAGTACCTTCAGAGTCTACAGCCACGATCGTTTGAAGATGTTTACCCTCGCATGCAAATACGAGGAAACAGTTAATGCTCAACATCTCCAGTCCAGACCCTCCCACATAACTGTTGACGATATTTTCCAGTTCATGTTCATAGAATAAACCATCACCGCAGTTATAAAAGAATTCGATTTGCATCTAACAACCAAGCAGATAATCATTGTAGACACTTGAGGCTCTATCTCTCCGAACTTTCTCGCTTCTTCACTGCAAGGAGCCTAACACTATCCCCAACGAAATCAACGGCTACCCTCTTCACCATCTGGACGAACGGGGTCAGACTTCAACTAGGCATTCACATCGATGGCACACCAATTCCGACGGTGAACAAGCCGAAAATTTTAAAGGTTAACTTTGATAGCATTCTCTCCTTCTACGCGCACATAACCGCAGTTGTCAACAAAGTACAGAGCCGCAAGAAGGTCCTCAAGTCGCTCGCCGGCAGCACCTGGCAATTGGCCGCCGGAAACTAATTGGACGCTGTGGCCGAAGCTACAGTCTTGACAGAAAGCCGCACTCCGGACAGCGACAGGACGAATTCTGATGTTGCCAAGCACCACCTACACCACGAGGACCATAAGGGAACATAACAAAATGCTCAGCAATCAGTTTCTGATGGGATGTCACAGATGTGAGCACCCCAACAGACCCTTGCTCGAGGAGGAGCCTCCGCCAAGGTACGTCAGAGGACACCTATTCGAATACATGGAC